GCTGGGCTCACAGTTCGAGATAGCTTAGGGGAGAATAATGCACCTAGAAGATTTGGATGGCTTAATGGGTGGCTCAACTTGGAAGTTGTAGCTCTTTACATCCACAATCATGTTCATTCATTTCCTTTCTAGTCTTTGAGGGTGGTTTGTACGTTAGCTGCCACGCAGACCTAGTTTTCGGGTTTGTGTGCTTCTAAAGATAAACACCAAAATGTTTTCTTTCAGTTTTTAAACTTTCCTTTGATTTACAAGTACTAACTAGTATTCATTAGTTAGTGTCCAGAAGAATGGCTTTCCCCCCTGACATTTTCATGCACATATAATTGTGCTTTGCTCTTGTGTCCCCAGTATCATCTGCCATAGTTGACTTCCCTCCTCTCTGAGAACAGTGGCCCCTTTATTTCTGTGGACACATGTCAATGTTCTTTCACAGTGAGTTTCCAATTTCTTACTGTGTAATATGATTGTCACCTTACAGGGGATCCTTAAATTGACGATCTCCTGCATTTTATTCCCTTTGAGAAACATTCCGTGTGCTCACTGTTTCGACCATTGCCTAGCCTCAGCTCTCCTAAACACTAAGTTGATTAGCCCCAAAGAATTTCTTACCTAGTGGCTATCAGCGATCTGCCCTACAGCAATGGATCATATTAGATAAAACATATTTGTAGGATTATTCTATGCACCTAAAAAACACCATTTTAACGCCACAGGCAGAATGGCCCCATGAAAGGTACTTGTAGACAGTGTACAGAAATCCCAGGCAGGGTTTGAAACTGATGTCACATCTTACTGTTATGGTGCTTTCCAACTTTTTATTGGAGTGCACTAATCCTTGGTGTGTGAAATGCAGGAAGGGCACTAAGCTTACCAGGATGGTAAAGTGTGCAACAGATAAAATACCCCTTAAAACATGGTGGATTATTGCTTGCTTTTTCTCTTAGTGCCTAGAAGATATGTATTAGAAAATGTGAGGAACCCAGCAACATCAGGAAAAAACATGCATCAGCTAAGCCCCACACGTGCCCCCTGGTGACATGTTACTGTGGGGACCACTAGGTTCTCTGGCTCTCCTGCTCTCCCAGATATTGCATCCAGCCAAATGCTCCCACTGATATTTTACATTTTAAACTCAAATTAATGGCAGTTTCATCTAGTTTGCTGCTAAAATTGGATCACATGATTTATATTGTTTTTAATCTACTTTTTATAATTATGATATTGCCAAGATTCTAGTTCATTAGCTATTCTCTATATAATTTTTAATTGTGCACAGTGTTCTGAAGTATAATTATAGCTGGGTTATTTTTTCTTCACTAGTCTCCTGTTCCTGGATAATTAGATTATTTCTAATTTTTTTATTATAGAGAATACTGAGATAAACATCATTATAATGTGGGAAGAGTAAAACGTTATGATTTGGGGCACAGGTTCTGGAGATGAGCGCTGTGTGCTGGATGCCTCACAGCCTGTAACCCCGAATAAGTCACCCGGCTCTCAACTCGATCATCTATGAAACAGCAACAAGAGTGATGCTTACTTTTCAGGGTCTCTAAGCTAATCCATCTCAGGACTGTAGAGCCCGTGAACACACAGGTGTATTTTTGTTTAGAGCTTCCCTAAACTGTGTGATCAAAGACGGTGCTTGAACTGAAGATAACTGGTCAAATTCTGCATTCGTGTAAAGGAACATCTCTGCTTTTGGTCAAGACAATGCCAGCTTCTTCTAGATGTGGTAGAAATCGGAGAAGAAGCTGCCTTTTGGACTGTGAGCTACATAACTCCCTAGGACACACGTAAGAGTAGATGTGCTGGCAGAGGGTAACATTTCAAGGGAATCCCAATCGTGTGTAGGCTAGGGCTTCTGTGCTCTCTTCATTCTCCTCGATTGCCTTCAGACTTCTGGGTGTAGGTAGGCTTTGCCCTCATCCACAGCACATGTTCACCCAGTGCCCACACTGCGGGGTCTGTGTATCAGTGACGTTGTAGGAAAATACAGCCCAAAGCAGGGAGACTGTCACTTCAAAGCATGCCACAGTGCTTAGACAGAGCCAGGAAATTAACCATGTCGGCATGATAATGTTTCTTTGAAAGCCTGCAACTCTTTCCCCACCCCGTGGTAATATTATCAATTTCTATTATAAATTCATTTCTATCATAAGGGAAGTCTTAAGGTTTTCCTTCCTTTTTCTTCCCTCCTTTCTATTTTTGCTCAAATCCTAAGAAAGGAGGGTTGGTTTCTTTCTGCCTGGTTTTCTGGGAAAATGTTGAATGGGATGTGGGAAGGCTCATGGAGAGGAGAGATGGGTCCTGTTTCCTCAGCACCTCTTTGTCATTTTGCCACCATTGTGCATTTATCAAATACATTCTGTGATGTGCATGTGCTTATCCACAGTTTTACCACAGCGTCTCAGTGGGGGAAAAGGCCCTACAATAATTTATCACAGGCTTTAAAGGTGTTTTAAAATATAACCTTGGTATCTTTATAAAGAGACTATTATAAGCTAAAATTGCCTTTTGTGTCTGCAAGCTTCCATCTTTTTGAAAATGGGAGGGGGCAGGTTTTTGGCCCAGTTATGGAAACTTTGAAGAGGGTTTAACAAAGAAAAAAAAATACAAAGTTCTACAGAATTGCTATGAGTATCTGAACCGCAGCTTGTAGTTCTCTGAATACCCAGGTCAACAGCAGGAGAGATGTCTCAGTCAGGAAAGTGTTTGCTGTGTTAGTGTGGGGACCCGAGTTCAGATCCCCATGTTAGAAGTCAGATATGGCAGCAAATGCCGTATTCCTAAAGCTGAGGTCATAGAGAGAAGGGATCTGGGGGCTCACTGGCCAGTCAGTCTAGTCAGTCTCCAGGAGATCCTGTCTCATAAACTAAGGTTGCACAACAGAGAATAACCCCAGTGCACAAACATGTGTGCCCTACTCCACGGAAACCCAGAACAGGGTAAGGGTACCTTCATGAGTCAGGAAAAAGATCATTTGTAACAGGATAGGGATCTGATTTTCCTGGGATTAAGGCAGAGGAAATGGATTAGAAAAAGGGATGTGGATTCGTCTTGGGTAGAATGATGACTTCTCTCACTAGTGATGATGGATGAGATAGGGAACAAGTTACACAGAACTACGGGCTTTACTTTGGATGCCTTTAAAAACGGGATACTCTTGTCTCCGCCCGAGATAACTAAGAGGGTAAGGCGTGTGTGTACAGTTTTAGGATGTTATGGTTTTCTTTTAAGACTGAACGCTGGGATTTTTAAAATTCAGGGTCCTACACTGCGGGCAGCAGAAGAAAGGACTGATATGAATAATAATTAGGTTTGGATCTCATTTTAGAGTTACCACCTCATCTTATTTCGTGAAAGAAGATTGTGAGCTCGTAGGTAATTGCTTCCCTCATCTGCTTTAAGTTCAATAATTCTCGCTCATTGTTTTTAATTCTGTTAAAGAGTGTTTATTAAAATACTAATGAGACCAAAGCCGTGCTGATTAAAAATGGCATTATTCGTTTAAACCTTTTGATATTATGAAATCCATGGTAGATTATGCTGTCAGAAGATGGAGCCTACACTTCGGGTGACTCGCTTGCCATATGCTTAGAATATTGCTTTCTTCACAGTATTATTTCGGGTATTATATATAAAAACATATATACATGTATGGTTTTTATACATAAAGGCAATTTGCCCTAAGAGTTTTCGATGGAGTGTGCAGTCCTGGTAATGGCTGTGGTATCTAATAAACAAATGAACGCGGATTTGTACCGTGCAAGGTGTGTTTGTATCCTCCGTAGGTTTTAGGATGGCTGTGGTTGGGGTTGTTTCCTTCCACTGATACCCCTCCCTCACTGACCTCTGACCCCTAACAGCCATTCTTCTTATTCAGAGTCGCACTTGGAATACATCTTTCAATTTCTATTTTTTTCCTTTCTGTTTTGTATGGTTTCTTGTCTCGGTTATCTTTTTGTTAGTTGTCTCTTTTCAGTTGTAGGTTGGATGTACTTTTCAAGTAGGCCACTATTTTTATCCTGCTTTTTCTTTGGGAGGTCCTTGGGCTTACCCACTGACATACATTTTGACCCGTGTCTTGAAAATCCAGGCTGTCAAAAGGCCAATCAGATCTTTCACACCCCAGCTTCTGGTCCACCCCCACCCCGCACCCCATTTCTTTAATTGTTACTGGCTGGGTTCCAGTGCCTCCTACCCGTCTGAGCAGTTGCTGCTATTCACGCTCTGTCCCTTTGCTGTTCCTTGTCAGCCCCTTACCACCTTTCTCTCGCACCAAGGGTGGCTCCATCTTTCCTTGCCTCAAATCCTTCAACTGCAGTTCCTCGTACAAAGGATGCTGTCCAAATTTTAGCAGGCATGATACCTCTGTACAAACTGCTCATTTCCAGCTTCCCTCCCAGCCTCTGCTCCCTGTTCCTGCCTTCACAACTTTCACTAGCCCATTCATTATCGCGACCACATCAAAGTCTATATTCTGGGCTTAGGGAACAGGAAGAGCAAAGCCCGGAGCTGGGAAATAATATGGTGATGCTTAGCAGTGGGGTGATGCCACAAATGGTGCCTGGTGGGTACCAGGGACTGTGAGCAGCAGCTTGTGCCATGCAGCTGTTGATGCTGCAGCCTGGATGCTCAGTGTAAGAATGGCCATCCAGAGATGTAGTGTAGTTGGTATTGGCAGAGTGGTTGCTTAGCATTTGGGAAGCTTAATTCAGTCCCCAGCATGGCATCAATCTGGTTGTGGTGGCTCACACCTGAAATCTCAGCACTCAGGACGTAGAGTCAGGAGTTCAAGTACATCCTTTACTACATACCTAGTTTGAGACCACCCTGGGATTGAAGAAATATTATCTAAAAGAAACATAACAAACAAACAAACAAAAACCAATGATGATATCATGATGAAGGCTTACCTTTCTCATGTAACAGCAGAGTGAAGAAGTGCCCAGACCCGCCCTCACACTCTGATGCCCTCCTCTCTTTCTCCTCCTTAGCTTGCGACGGTGATCACTGGGGGCCTCACTGCAGTAGCCGGTGCCAGTGCAAAAACAGAGCTTTGTGCAACCCCATCACGGGGGCCTGCCACTGCGCTGCAGGCTACCGTGGATGGCGCTGCGAAGACCGCTGTGAACAGGGTACCTACGGGAATGACTGTCACCAGAGATGTCAGTGTCAGAATGGAGCGACCTGCGACCATATCACCGGGGAATGCCGTTGTTCACCGGGATACACTGGGGCCTTGTAAGTTGATGAGCCATGGAACAGTACCACAGATACGGTGTGCCTCCATTTCTATTACTCTCTCAGTAGCCACTGCTGGGTCTAGGGTCCAGGTGCCACTGTGATGGCCAATAGGGCCTGCTACTGCTAGACTTTCCAATGCTCAGCCAACATATCATATAAGGGCATATATGTTATAAGCCAATATATAACATCCAGGCTCATTGGATGGTGGGTGAATGAGTATATTTGGGGGTTGTCACAGCAGGTGTGGATTTCTGTTACAGATTTCCCACAATTCCATTCACCGTCTAGGAATAGTTGATAGTGGTCCGGGTGGTTCTGCTCTTGTGGCAATTAATTGGTTATATCCTGGTGGATTGAGAGCCTATGAGCAAGATCAAAATGCTTGCATCCAATGACAGGCAATAAGGTGAGCAATCCTGAAACACTCGGTGCTCATGGTGGCATCTGTTTCTTTACGAAATAAAAGCACACATAGCTCAGCTCTTAGGATGCATTGCACACAAAGAGTTGAATTTTTTTTTTCTGGAGACCATTGAAATAAGTCCTCAATCTCCTTGTATTTATTTTGGGAAGGGCAGTCTTTGGTTTGTTTCTGTTAGCAGAATAAAAGGCAGAATTTGGAGAGAGAGAGAGAGAGAGAGAGAGAGAGAGAGAGAGAGGGAGGGGGAGAGAAATATTGTCCTCTTACTGGGAAAATTATGCTCGTAAATCACAGAACTAATAGTTGGGGAAATGTAGCTGATTAGGTAAATATGTCCTCCTGACAGTGCTAATGTCTGCAGAGCTAAGGAAGAAACCGCACTGGCCTAGAAAGCTCTGGTTTTCAGAATAGATGGTTGTTTCAAACTGCTTAATTGTTTATATCACTTTTATGGGTTTTCATCAAGGCCAGCATTAAATGGGGCTGTGGGAAACTTAGAGGCATTTCTTCAGAGCAAAAATACGGTGCTTTAGTGGGGAAGGTCGAAGGATGGCAGGGCAAAAGGTGTGGGGTTTGGCGTTCAGGAGACGGGATGCTGCAGACTGATTGTGAATAAACACACGGAGGGAATGCGTGAGCATCTAGATCTGCTTTCATGTTAGGACAAACTTCCAAAGAAAAGCAGGTTTCACTCCAGCGCAAGAGCTTAGGAAGACAGCCAGGGACAGCTTCTGTCACCAGTGTGTGGTCACTTTTCTTCCTGCAGCTCTCGAATGGGAGAGATTTTCGCCCTAACCAGAGCCAGGTGGATTGCTTGCTGGGAATTCATACTGTGCAAGCCTAAGGATCTGAGTTCAAATCCCTACCACCTGCATAAAAGAGCCAGGTGTGGTCTTCAGGGCCTGTAACCCTGGTGCTGGGAATCAAGGGAGGGAAGAGACAGGGGATCCTGGGACTTGCTGGACACCAGTTGAGCCATAGTCAGTGAGCTCCAAGTTCATTGAGAGACCCTGTCTAAGGGAATAACTGGAGACTGGAGAGTATACACTGCATCCTTCTCTGACCCCTACATACATGCACATGGGCAAAAACACCTGTGCACAGATGTGCACACACACAGACACACACACAGGGACACGCATAGAGAATGAGAGAGCACACGCACAGATTCACATACATGAAAGAGAGATGAGAGGAGAGAGAGAGAGAGAGAGAGAGAGAGAGACTTCAAACCCAAAGAAGGACCCAAAGAAGGATCTAGTGGCCCATCTAGATGCTTCCAGCTAATGTGATTAGTGTTCTGAATGCAGATTATGTTAATAATTATCGATTGAGGACAGGCTGTATATTTTAGGGTTCTGGATGATGTGTCTGTGAGTCTGAGGATCATGTGCTTGGATAAATAGCAGGGTCTTGTGTTTCACTTAAATTCCTCAGTTGTGAAGATCTTTGTCCCCCTGGCAAACATGGGCTACAGTGTGAGCAGAGATGTCCCTGCCAAAATGGAGGTGTGTGCCATCACGTAACTGGAGAGTGCTCTTGTCCTTCTGGCTGGATGGTAAGTGTCCCTTTCATCCCCAATAATCACACATTCCAGAATGCACAAGCGAATGTCCTTTGGAGACTTTAGCACAAAAGACAGTAGCAACAGTGGCTATAATTCCCACACTGAAATAAGTAGCCACTTAAAAACAAATCCTTCAGATCAGAGAAGCCAGAGGTAACTTCACCTACCCTTGTCCATGAGTGTATTAAGAACTCCCGTGGAAGTAAGAAGGACATGGGCTCCGCATTTCCCCCAGGAGAAAAAGAAACAGATATCTGATCTCACACATAACCATAGCAACTGGTAAATGCTGAAATTATCCAATAACTTCCTCCAGGATTGCTACTGTCTATATCAACATCCATCTTAGCAGGGTAAATGTCACAAGAAGGTACTAGGCTGTTAGAAAAGTCTGAAGAAACACTGAAGGAAATCAAGCCGACCGAGAATTGTAGAACTTGATGCGATTGTGAGAATAAGCCAGGCTTACAAAGCTTCCCATACTTTGACCAGAACTCTTCTGCTTTATGTAATAATTCTCTAGGCTTATTGCTATGTAGGATGCAGTGTTAAAGCATTACTAAATACACAGGTGAAGCCAGGAAAGAGTGTTAGTTCTTGTTTCTCTGAGTTGGTTTAAATCTGTCTGCTTAAAGAAAATAGTATCTTTCAAGAGCAGATTACACTACCTTGTCTGCCCAGGACCCCACACTACCTTGTCTGCCCAGGACCTCTTCTTGAACATTTTCTTTATTGTCAGTGGTGACGTCTTTATTGTCAGAGCCACTAAGGCCTTTCTCTTCTTATTCTGATTTGTTTCTCCAAAGCTTTGACTCACCGGACTGCCCACCTCTGTGCCTTGCCCTTTTTGGTCCTCCACTTCTTCAATGGCCATCTCTCCCACTTGTCTTTCTAAAGGATTCTTCCTGATCCTTTTCGTCCACTGCAGTGTTTCTCGGGTTTCAGTCTTATTCCCCTCTCCTCTCACATAAACACTCTCTGAGAACGTCACTCAGACATGTTAGCCGTCACTGGCCACTTTCCCAAGATCTTTATCTTACCTTCCCTGAGTCCTAATGTGACACAATTACCTGTTAGTTACTCCAACCTTGGTAATCTGTGGTCACAATGTCAACTACCTTGTGGGGGTAGAATTACTCTTTAGTGTCAGCAAGGAACATAGGTATGGGCCTTATGACTGACATAAGGGAGAGCTTTTAATCCAGGGCCCTGGGGAAAACATACAATGAATTGATCAGGCCCATGGTGAAGGCCAGAAATTGGTCAAAGTCTTATTCTAAAAGCAAAGTGTGGGAGCTAGGTAAGGAATGGAGTCAAGGGTGCAGTCTTTTGTTGAGGGCCTGAGGATGGAAGGATCACGGGGGTAGTTCCAGCATGCCCAGCAAAGCAAATGTTAAGAAACTAACCTACCATCTGCCTCTCAGCCCCTTGGATCTGAGTGCAAGCCAACATCTCTTAGAAACCAAAGTAGAAATGTCAGATTATCTTTGACTCCTTTTGCTCTCTCAACCCCTAAATCAGCCAACAACAGCCCTTGCTTTGTGGTGAGGAAAGAGTCTTGTTGAAGTGATAGGGTCCAGGGAGCCCCAAGATCTCTTAGTTAAGAACTGCAGGCGTTTCACTTTGAGGTCACCTCATCTTGAGGCTGAAACATTCCCTCGTCACCTGGAGGTCACATTGTGGGAAGGTGGAAGCCACAGCCTGGGACTATGAGTTCAGGAGGTAGACAGATGGATCCACTCTGTGGGTTCCCTGGAACCTGCCCTCAACCACTTCCTCTAGGCCACAACAGATGTTTCTTAATAGAAGCTTCCAGACACATTTTCCCCTGTGGGTAACTGAATTCCCAACTTAAATTTCTCCATTGCACCATCTTATTTGTATTGTTATTTTAGATGTTTCCAAAGGTGAACTGGCATTCCTGTCACACACACACACACACACACACACACACACACACACACACGCATCTCAGCCAACCACGTTTCCACTGCTTGCTTACACTAGACTTTATTCATAGACAATATCTTAAGAGCATTCCTGAAAATTATGAGGGACCATGATAGGTCATTAGAATTAGACCCTGAGAAAGTGAGAACCTTGGTTAGCTGTTAGCTGCCCCTCAGTCCATCATTCTTTCAGTAATGTTATTATATTCCACTAAGTGCAATAGGATGTCCTAACACGGAGTGATTAGAGCTATTTTTGTATATGCTCTTCTCATCACCCATGAACAAGGCAGGCAAATGCCGCTTATCATTGAATCTCAGTGCTTAGCGCAATGCCTGGCATGTGGATGATTCTCGGTTAAGCACCAATCTGAATCATCTCTCAAAGGCTTTTATGGCTCCAAGAGCCTGTGGAAGAATCTTTCCTGTTGGTGGATAGTTTGAAACCACCAGAGGAGACTTAATTAGCTCACCAACTGCCTTTGTGGGTAGCCAGTAGTTAGGGAAAATGTATTTCTTACGCTATCCAGAATAAACATTTAGAAGACCATCTGGTGTTCTTAGCTAAGCTCCAATTTCAGAGTACTCACAGTCTGTCTCTTGAGAGAGAGAGAGAGAGAGAGAGAGAGAGAGAGAGAGAGAACAATGAAAAACATTAGGGAAATCCCGTTATGTGGGGAATGCTGTTTGCACTAATTATGACTCCAATAAATATTCTAATGATTATAACTCCAATAAATCAGAAACTGTAAGCCCAAGGTTCATAGCTAAGTGAAGCAGAAAACAGTGGGGTGTTCACTGATATACTGAGATCTTGGATCCACGTCTTAACTTTCATCCTCCCAGGATTAGAGTATACATGCTTGTGCTTGCTAAGGACAGCTCCTAGGGTGAGAAGAAATGTCCTAGTGACTTGTTGGGTTCTCTTCAGGGAATGAGTCTGCCTTCTTGAGCCTTCATTGAACCTTCTTGAAAATGTGTCTTTCCTTCTGGAACCAAGGTTAATTCCTGTAGAAGTCTTTCTTAGGGCATGCTATTGCTAACTCAAATACTCACAGTTTCAACCTAATGCCCTGTTACATCATTTGGTTATTTATTTATTTATTTATCTCATTTATTTTACGTACCAACCTCAGTTTCCACTCCCTCCTCTGCTACATCTTACGAAAAGAAGCCAGAAATAGTAGGTAGCCTTTGGGTTTTCTGTGGGAATCAGACGTTGCTACTTATGTAGGGGATTCTCAGTGAGTATTGTTGATGTAAGGCACAGGGAAGAACGCCTAGGAGTATTTACATAATAATTTTATGTAACTCCACATTAGGGTTCAGTTTTTATCATGAAAATTTCTTAGGACCACTATCCTGCTCTCTCTGAGTGCATCCTGAGATTTGGGCTTATTGGGTCAATAATTCAGTCTGAAATTCCACATATTTTAAAGATGATGAACCTTTTGTGTTCTAAAATGCCCTTAATCTAATTTTCTCACAGCCCTGTTCCCCAAATCTCTCCCTCCCTTTCTGTTGTCCCTGTTTTCTTCCTCTGCCTTCCACTGTTCTGGCTGGTGGCCCATCTAATTTTCCAAGTCTCTTTGAATTCAGGGCACAGTGTGTGGTCAGCCCTGCCCTGAGGGTCGCTTTGGAAAGAATTGTTCCCAAGAATGCCAGTGCCACAACGGAGGAACGTGTGACGCTGCCACAGGCCAATGTCATTGCAGCCCAGGATATACGGGGGAACGGTAAGGACACACTTGAGATTCTCTGACTCTTCGTAGTGAGTTATTAGGACAGTTTGGAGAGTCAAGGGAGCATGCTCAGTAAGATGCATATGTAACTACTATATAATATTCCAGAAGCATCCCATAAAGTCTAAAGGTATTCAGAGAACTCTATCCTTGTTGCATGCATAGAAACTGAGTCACAAAATAACAAATATTGAATTGTAGGAAATTAGAGAAAAACAGGAAGGAAGTTAGAAAAAGGACAATAGAACATGAGCTATTCAGAGACTGTGATGAATGTGTTGTTCTGAAACGTTGAGTACTTAGGACTTTACATTTTCATTATTTTTAGATGGGTTTGGGGCATGGCAGAGTAATGAGAAAAGGGACGAGGCCCTGGACAGATTGGTTTTCAAGCAGGACATGTCCTTCAGAACGTAGACGAAATACCGTCTCCTTCTCAGAATGGCCTTAAGAATGCTTTTTATTTCCAAAATTTTGCTCTAATTTTATGACTTTTGATTAGATACTATATGCTTCTCCACCTCTCCAGGAACTGTCTGGATTTTCTTATTAAATACATTTCCTAAATAGTTTATAAATTAAAATAAATTCCCTTTCAGTCTCTAACTTGGTATTTTCTAGAGAAAGGAAAACTCACTTTCACATTTCTGCTTCCTTACTCTTTGTCTTGCCAGTTTTGATATTAATTTATTCAAGCAAACCTTGGGATTGTTGAGTTTTGCTACTATAGTATCCACCACTAAAGATGAGTCATCTTTAAATGATTAGCTTGTTTCTAATGATTGTTTCGTTATTGGACAGATTGGGAGCTCTGAGTTGATTTTGACTAGCAGGAGGTCAATGTGACAAGTCCAGGCTTATTCTGCTTTATTGAAATTACCTTCAAATAAATTTTTGTCTGCAATTTCTGGTTGCTACCTCACACAGTATCGCCTCCTCGGTCCTTCATTTTCTTAAGGTCTTTTGTTAGAAGTGTCCACTTAATTTGATTAAAAGCCATTTTGTTGTGTACTTAGTGTTTTAATGTAGGAACTATCAATATCTCAATGATATGCTCTACCCTTGTGGTTTTGTTACCCACGGCCTAGTTCTCAGCTGTGCTTTGGATAGATGAAGTCATTATATGATTGATTAACGGGATCAGAGAAAGAGGAGAGGCACAAAACCAAGCAGGATCCTAAGTGATTATTTCTATAATGTTTTAAGCTCTAGAGACACTTCAGTGCAAAATTTCACATAGAGATTTAACTTTAAAAGCAACAGAAAAACATCACACCTACCAGACCAGCGAGCTTCTGCTCAGCTGACTAGGAACACAGGGGAAGAGAATAATACCCCATTTTCAAGTAAACTTTTGAAACTCAAAGGCAAGGGGAAAAACTGAAGCGGGGTGGGGCAATTGATCTTCTACCCATGCTTCTGTGAAGTCATCAGTGATGACGCACGGTTACTGTTTCTCATTGCTCTCCTAGTCTCTGTTTTAAGTCATTACCATACACAATCCAGGGGATGACAGGAAGCACATTTTTCTCTATGAGAGGACACAGTGAGTGGCTGACTGTGGGGCCGTTTGTGGCGGGAGGTGGGGAGGAGACCCGAGGGTGGGGATCATAAGTGTCCCTTCCCTTGTCTTGAGATGTCAGTGCGCCCAGAACACTGTGATTTAGTAGGGCCGCTCCACAGTGGTTGCCACCACAGGCAGCTGCCAGCAAATATAGCCAGGATGTGGGGACGCCAGCCACACTACCACAGGGAGACAAATGGTGCACCCTGCAGCCTACCAGGACGGCACAAAGGGTGACAAAGAAGAGGCTTTGAGGTTTGTGGAAAGATCCAAAGGGTGCTGCGGTCAGAAGATGCAGTACAGGGAAGTTGGTATCTTCACAGAGCTCTGCTTGAAGATGCCTTACAAGGTGTTAATGGTGTGTTCCAGACTTCCTCCGTGGCATATGATGATAGGACACAAACATGCCTGCAAAGCATGATTAGTGAGTGTTCATGACTCAATAATGGAGTCTGTTATTGTGAACCCCAAGACAGCCCTGCCAGACCTGTGTTCTGTACGACTCTGAGAGTGAAGAAAGACCAGGGCAATGGCACAAAGTCGGAGGCTGCAGCTCAGCATTGGAGGAGCACAACACTGGTCTTCAACGAGGGGGCATTCTCCCCTCTCTGTGACTGTGGAAAAATTGGCACCTCCAAAGTACCTTTGGCTTTCCCCCAGGCCAGCAGCTTCAGATGCTACAGAGGCAGGTTGCTAACCCCTGGTGTCCAGGTCTGATGAAGAATGAGAGTCCTTCACACCGAAGCACAATTTGGCTCAGCTCTTCTGGTCACTCTGGGAACTGACGTGCTCCACAGGACAAGGAGCTGCCAACCCCACTTACTTCCTCATCCTTAAATTTACAGTCCAATGCAAAGTAGTGATCAGAATGACATCAGTAAGGATGTGCCCCTTTAATTAGTGTTTTATCAGTTTATAGCTACTTAATGATTGTCCTTTCTCATAATTCTAGAACATTACTAGAAATTTCTTCTTCTTTTTTTGTTTGTTTTTTGTTTTTCAAGACAGGATTTCTCTGTGTAACAGTCCTGGTTATCCTGTAACTCACTTTGTTGAACAGGCTGGCCTTGAACTTACTGAGATTCATTTGCCTCTGCCTCCCAAGTACAGGGATTAAAGACATGCACCACCACCACCCAACTCTCTGTTCTCTTTCTTGAGAAAATGTATCGATGATTCCTGATATAGACTTTCTTGTTTCTTGCGGGATCACGAAAGCAACTTGAAGTGCACGAAAGGGAAATGGCCTTAAGCTAGAGACCAACTGGAAGGGCATTACCACCCCGTGATGTTTATTTAAGGTAGATAATGTTCTGTATACGTGCATTGAATTATCACACTCTACCTTATACATTTGCACACATTTAAAGCAGCAATGGAAAAAAAAAACCCATGGGCAAAGTCTCTACTAGAAAGCTGCCCGACCCACTGTTTGGGTTTGGCAGGTAGAAATGCATACTTCTTACTGACAGGAAGGGGCAGCACTAACAGAAGACGCAGCTCCCACAGTGACGGCCTGGACAGCAAATCCAAGTGTATGTGTTCTGAACGTACACTAGAAACTGCTGGATGTCTAATTAAAGACTAGAAAGGTAAATACAGGCCAAGGCCAACTATTATACCTTTTGCTCTGCGAGAGAAAGAAAACACTGCCAAGACACAATGAGGCCCCACACTCTGCTTCTCTGTGATGCTGGCGACATAACTTTCTGAGGCATCCGACTTCCAACAGCCTTTACAGCTTATTGAAATAAACCACATTAAAATTAACTCAAGGTCCAGCCTTTTCCTAACTAATATTTGTGTATTTACTGTGTGTGTTGGGTATGGGGCGGGGTGTGGAACCTGTGTGGGGGTCAGAGAGCAGCATGTGGAAAACAGCTCATCTTTCAGTCACGTGGCTTCTGGGTTCCAGCTCAGGCCACTGAGTATCTTTATACCCTAAGTCATCCCACCAATCCAAAATTTAGCAATTGTTTTGTTTATAAATTCACAAAAGAGGGTGAGGAAGTGGTATTTTTTTTAATGTTTCTTCCATTGGCATTGAATTGCAAGGACATACCTTCAGACATATTGAGAAGCTCTCTTGCCAGCCATTAGCAAATGCTTAGATTAGGTCCAATTTTTGTATCTTATGAAGTCTTTCTTTAAAGAGTATGCTTTAAAGGGAAAAAAAATCAGATGACTTGGTTTACTAAAGTACCTTGAAGGTTAAAAATATTGAGGACCTTTATAAAACAAATACTCTGGTCTAGAAATAGCCATATGCGTTCAAATGTAGCTCTAAAGTCTACATATGAATTTATTTGAAGTACTCACTCGGCTGCTCCAGAATTTCTTTAGTGGTTAAGCAGTTAGAAATGGCAGCTGACAAGCGCACTTGGAGATGGTCTAGAAGCAGTCAAACCTACTCCTAGGAAGGTCTTTCCTTTCCTCCACCGTACTTAATGCACGCTAGAGCCAGAGTCAGCCAGCAAAATGTCAGCAGGCTCCCAAGGCTCTCCCTCTATACTTAGAATCCCAGTGTTGGTGTTCACCACACCCTATCATTATGCCAAGCCTGGTGGAAAGTTTGTTTCTCTTGGAACTGTTTTTCTGCCGCTGCTCTTTTGTATGCCTTGCTGCTTGCGTTGTTCACATCTGGAGAATGCAATACTGACCTGCGTTTTTGTTTGTTTTTTTTTTTTATTGGAGTCTGGCATGACTGGGAAGCCACATGAGAGGTGGCTGCCGAGATAGTGCTCCCTACTGAGGTGAGCACTCCTCCAGGTGTGTGATGTTATCTCTGTCTTCTTGGCTGAGTGCTCCTCGTCACCTCATATCACCAGAAAGAGAGCTGGCTCTCCCCAGTAACTACCCATGCTTTCCACAGAGCAGTGATGAGTCTTTAGTCCTCCAGCATCAGCTTCTTACCTTGTCCAACTTACCAAAGCACCTCTCCCCTCCACATCATTTTTTGTTCAAAAGACACTAAGGTGAAATTTTTGGTTGGTTTTTCTCCCTTGCCATCTTTCCCAACAGAAGACAATATCCCGCTTGCCACAAAAAAAAAAAAAGAAAGAAAAAAAGAAAAAAAAGAAAGAAAGAAACAGAAATTGTTAGAAAACCCAAAGCCTTCTTATAACCTACAAACTGGGATGAAGGACATCTGATGTTGGAATCTCAGAATTCCTCGAGTCGTTGTTTTTATTTAGTTCTCCCTTTTACACATACATGACTGCTAATGCTCTCCAGAGTGATCCATCTCTTGACTTTTCTGCCTATAGTGGAACAAACCTGACATACTATGGGCTCAAAAAGCATTTCAACTTGTACATGGTTAGGCCCTTTTGAACCAACTGTTGGCCTCTTGTCTGAGTAGGTGTCAGGATGAATGTCCTGTCGGGACCTATGGAGCTGGCTGTGCGGAGCCCTGCAGGTGTGTTAACGGAGGGAAGTGCTATCACGTGAGTGGAGCATGTCTGTGTGAAGCAGGCTTCGCGGGCGAGCTCTGTGAGGCGCGCTTGTGTCCCGAAGGGCTGTACGGCATCAAATGTGACAAGCGGTGCCCCTGCCACCTGGACAACACTCACAGGTGAGTGCCAGCTGCCCCTGGGAAAGCATTGTCTATTAAAGCTCTAACTTGAGTGTCCAGGGCTTGGCAAGAATGGCCTCTCATCGACAGAAATCATCAAGTTGAAGGGCATTTTGTTTTTCACCTAGTGACTGAAAGCCCCTGTTGGAGGGGCTAAGGTTATTGGCTGGTGGTGGGTATTAGGTTATTTTATCTATGCATGGGGACTGGTAAAATGATTCTGCTGAGATGAACAGAACGTTTCCTTAAGAGAAGGATTGTGTGACATTCCCAGAGAAGCAAAGAGACCGTGCAGGGACAGGGGTTAAAACGAGGGCGGGATGTGGAAACACCACGCTTACTGCAGCGTCTTTTACTTGAGAACACAGCTGGGGGAGGAAGGAAAGGCTGCAGAGAGGAAGTGGGCAGGGTTTGTGAACGCGCTTCACATGTGGTTGTCACATGTGGAATAACTTTCAGAACTGATTGCTCTGACCAAAAAAAAAAATAGCTCACAGGGGTCTTTCAGCTCAAAAATCTCTCCAAAAATCTAGGAACAGGAAACCACACTCCTGTCCACCCTACTGTACCTTGTCTGTCCCTGAAAAGTATCTTCCCATCTATTCTTTCCCTCTCTCCTTCTCCACAGACCAGACACACGTAACTTAGAATTCCCCGCCTGTTTGTAGACTTCTGGAAAAGATAAACTAGACAAGAATGTAGCGCAGTATCCAACAGTTCAGATGCTAGGAGAAAGACTTCTGCTTGCATTCAGTGCAGATGGGACTCCATTTGTACTCAGCCACATCAAATCCCAAACACATGAGAGCTAAAGGGAAACAAAGGTGTGTGATTGGTCGATTCTTTAAGCCATTGTTATGAACACAAGAAAAATGCATTTTGTATTATAGTGTGTATGTGTGTGTAAGAAGTATGCACTCCAAGTGAATCACGTATCTTTGTATGGTCAACTTTGGGTTTCTTAAATTGGAACATATTGTTATATTGTAGATGAACCATTTAGATAGTAAGTATGCAAAGATTTATTTTCAACTTTCTGATATGTAAGAAGCTGGCTCTATTAAACGCAAATCATGAGTGTGGCTTCCTCTACAGTAGGGCAAGCCTCATGTGGCACCATCACCAGCAGACTGCTTTGTTATATATGGAAACAACAGAAACCAAATAAAGCAGAAAACCTGCATGAACGTAGACCTCCCTTCTGAGAGGAACTAGAGAAGCATGGAGACTTTGTTTTGGTGGAACTGGGCATCTAGATGCAGGCAGAAGGTCCAACCCCCCCATCATAGGACTGTGGAGCTTTTGACATAGGCCCCATCAGACTAAATGTATATACTCCAATAAAGAAGTAGATGCAGTTGTTTGATAATTAAATAGATCAAAACAATACCTAAACGACATGTATCAAATATTCAGAAGATTTAGAAACAATTCAAATGTCCTTAGTCATGAGAACTATTTTAAAAGATTAGCTTTTCCAAATTTCTATTAAAGCTAGTTAAATGTGGATTACATGAATGTATCATGTTGGCTACACAGCAGGAGCCATCTGTTAATTCTTATCTCTTGAGCATCCGTGTAAAATGCAGGGCCCTTTCAAGAGAAAAAGGGCTTAGAATCATTGCTTTAATTGAAAGCCTAATTCGCTTTCCTCTCATCTAATAAAGCAAGTACAGATTTGTCATTATATATAATTCATGCACTAAACTTATCCAAAGCTTTCTGTGTAATTAATCATATATACAATGCAATGTAAATTACTAGTTTACATAATGTCTAGGTTCTGCGCATGCCCATACTGACCTATGAGAGCAGCACACTTGAGGAGGGGTGGGGATTGGCTAGCATTAGTCGCATCACAACAAACAAACATATGATGCCAAATTGAGCAGGCTTAGTAGCCGATGACTTTCTGCTGTGTAGGTTAGGTTCATCCTGGGGTGTCTCGTCTGCTGTTTTCTGTATGGACACCTGGCAGATCCATTGGAAGCTGACTGGTTCTGGAAATCCTCACTCCGTATCTGGCATTTGGCTAGATGACAAGAGTGACTAGGCACATGGAGTCTCCAGAAAGGTAGCCTGGGTTCATTTTAGCCAGCTGGCTTCTAAAGGCAACAATAGCCAGGGCAGGCTCTAACATCTAAATATGTTTAAGCATTTGGTTATGTCATGTTGCCAATATTCATCTTTAAGATAAAGCAACACTCACAAGAGAGCCCAGGTTCAATAAACTATTGTATTTTATTTTATTGTTTTGAGAAAAGGTCTCATTATATATCCCTGGTTGACTTGAAACTTGCTATGTAGACCTGACTGTCCTTCATCTTGGCCTCCACTTCTTTAGGAGAGGCATTCCCCAAAGTGTAGCCATTTCATTTTGTAATCCATCATTTAGTTGAGATTAATTTAAATATACTTACTGGTAATATTAATATATAAATATTATTGAACCCAAAGACATTTTTGCTGACCTAGACTTTCAGGTGGAAAACTAACTTTTATAGTGGAAATGATTTAGAGCAAGAAGATAGAATGAGTTTACTTAGACTGCACATGGCATTTGTCTACTAGTCCTTGTTAATAAGGACAGTCAGTAGCCGTTAGCAAACACTATTGCCTGAGTTGGCAAACCCCACCTGTTCTAATTTGTTTTCCTGATGCTGTGATAAAGAGCACAGCTCAAAGCAACTTGGGGAGGAAGAAGTTTGTTTCAGCTTCCACTTCCAGATAACAGTCTGTCCCCGAGAAATGTCAGGGTAGAAATCCAAGCATGAACCTTGAGCAGAAATGGTGAGGAAAGGTTGCTTACGGGCTCCATCTCTTCATGCTTACCTAACCCTGTTATATGGTCCATACCCACTTGCCTAGGGATGGTGCCACCCATAGTGGGCTGCTCCATTCCATATCAGTCATCGATCAAGAAAAGCCCTCACAAGCCTAGCCAATCCGATCGAGTGAACTCTTCAATTGAGGTGCCCTCTTCCCAGGTGACTCTAGGTTGCATCAAGCGCACAGTCAAAACCAGACAGGAGACCGCCCAATTGTTACTGCATTTGAGTGCAGACCTCATATAAGGAAAAAAATAAAAGAAAAGAAAGCTCAATAACTCATGATGGTTTAATAAATATGTCTTTTGGGGCTTGAACCCAGGACCTCACACATGCTAGGAAGTACTTTATTACTGATGCAGCCCCAACTCTTTTTGTAGTTTTTATCTTGAGACAGAGCCTCACAAAATGCCTAGGCTGACCTTGAATTTACGGTATGGTCCAAATAGTCCTTCAACTGACAATCCTCCTGTCCTAGCCTCCTGAATAGCTGGGGTCACAGGCCCATGTCACGAGCCTCAGCCAGTATTATGTACCATTGGACTCCTGTTACAAGTTAGCTATTAAATTGAAGAAATACTTTTTAAAAGTAGCTTTAATTATGTGCATATATAAAATGACAAATATTTCCATATGTGCAAAATTATATTTTCATGTGTAAGGCAATTTGTTCTTTTGACAGAAAACAGGTACGAAGTAACACCCTTCCACCTCCAATCTTCCACATGTTGGTCTCATTATCCGTTAACTGCATGAGGGAGAGCCCATTGAGTTCCTTCAAACAGCTGAGGTGTCCTACCCCTAATTACAAGTTGCAGAATGTTAATCCTGGTGTCAATCATTGTGAGAACCAGTGCATTGGACTGCCATTCACTGGGGTCCCTTCAATATCTTTTTCTCTGTCGGCCCCCCAGTTCACATTCATATATTTTCTTTAGCATTCATGCCTATATCATGAATAACGTTTCTGATTTTTAATTGTAAGCCATTTTCTTCCAAAGTGTGTCCTTTCCTTTATAGCAGATTAAGATAAAGTAAAACATTTTATTTCCTTTTGCTTTTCTCAAATTTAAGGTTTTACTCAAATAAGTTTGTCTGGTTTTCACAGTCTTGCTGACTATGTATCACAGCATTCAATCCTAAATTTTAGCAATTCCTTTTCGCATTGAGTCTCTCCCGAAGGCTTTCAACAAACTTCCTTTTCTCTCTATTTCAAAACACACTGACAAGGCTGTGTTGAAGTCTGATTCTGCCACTACTACATATGCGAACCTCTGAATAAGCTTTACCCGTTCCAGGACTCAGTTTCCTCATTTATGAAACAAAGTTTAGGGGAAGCCCTGCCTTTGGACACAGGTACTTGTGCCATGCCTCAGAGAATCAGGGATGATATGAGATGAAGGTGGCGATGTCGTTTTCATCAGTTCACCCTGCAGTCTTTGCTGTGAGCCTACTATGTGCAGGGGATGGGCAGCACATGTGATCTAACTCCTGTCCTCCTAGATCTTGTGGTGTGGTGGGAAAAGAAGGTGTAGGGGTAAATAAGTGAAGGCTGCAGACCGACAGGTGAGCCAAGGAAGGGGAAGGGAACTTGGGAGACCTACTTCAGTCTTACTGGGTGGAGAAGACATCTAGAAAAAGGGCTGTTTCAGCGGAGATTGAGGACAAGATGGACAGAGAGACAGGTGGGAAAAGGAAGGTGTCTCTTAGGACGTTGGAGCAGCCCCATGGAAGTTCTTGAAGGACAGAAGTCTGGATGCTTTTGCAAGCTGAAAGACATGCCATGTGGCTGAGCATAGAGATGAAGAGAGAACCATATGGCAGGCCTTTCGCCGTTGGGTTGGAGCACGTGCCGAAATGGCAATGGCCAATGCCGAGGCTTCATGATTGTCTTAGGGTGACTCTATCTCTGACTTCATGAGGACACACTAGTTAAGCCTATTGTCCTGGGGTAAGTTTTAGCATTTCCCTCTCCACTCTTAAGAAGTCCTGGCTTAGGTAATAAATAGTACAATCATGTCAGCATATTAGACAGCATGGGTTTTATCCCAAGTGTTGTTTAGCGGGGAAACTTTGACAGGCTTTAAGGAGGAGCTGTGGTGTGATTGGTGCTTTAGGTGACGAGGCATGTGTAGCTGCAGGTAGGAAGGCTGTTTAGTTCAGATGGTAAGATATACAACAATATAGGGGGTTATGGCTACTCATATATAGTTTTGAGTTGGCATGGTTAAGTGCTAGTAACAGAGATGGGAGATGAGGCTGAAGGAGAGACCAAGAGTAATTCTCTGCCCTCATCAGGGACCTTTCTTCTTACAGTAGATGGGAAGTAACACAGAGAGCCCCAACTGGACAGTGTGTGGTGAGAGACTTGGGTGCACTCAGTCCCGAGGGCGATGACTCATCAAATTCCTACCCTCCAGGCTCAAGGAGCTGTGCAGAGCAGGAGATGGAGAGTGGAAGAGCCAGCGGTGATGGAGGACTCCTTAAAAAGACCATTTAGCAAATTTCTAGATGGAAATGAGATCTTGTCATTTGCCCTATTTAAGGAGAGGGTTTGGGCTTTGTGGGGACAGGAGGCAATCTCCACACAGTTTTTCTATTGTCAGCTGAGTTTGATCGTCAAGGTTTTCCGGTGCCGAGGAGCACACGTTTTAAGCCAGCATGGCACAGAGGGCCTTATTGTGCCCGCTCACTTGCATGAACATCTCAGCACAGCTGATGTGTCCATTTGCTGTGGGGCAACAGCTGGCTGCCTGGCCTGTCAATGTGGCTACTGTTCCAGGTGGCAGCTGCTGCTGTACCACCAGGTAGATGGATTGGGGGGGGGGGGGGGAGAGGCTTGTTGGCAAGGTCGCTGCTTTTGGAATTCCTTGGCTATTACACAGTGGACTTGTGTCTCGTGGTGCTGCCTTCTTATTGAGTTAGTGCTTTCAGTTCAAGACAATTAAAAAGACTTTTAGACAAAAGGATATGGTTATTGTAGCTACTTGGCTAGGGCACAATGCTGATTCAATTCACTAGCTCTGTAGTAACACTCAAGCATCGATTAAATGCACCACCAAATGTAGCACCGTAAGAATTAAGTTTAAATCATGTTCGTGGAATTACCTGCACATTTAGTGACTATTGAGAAAGCAACATTTGCACATGGCTGAAGTGTCATGTTTACCCAGAATGACTTGTTCCTTTCATCTGTGTCTCTCAGCTGTCATCCCATGTCTGGAGAGTGTGGCTGCAAGCCGGGCTGGTCTGGCCTCTACTGTAATGAAACATGCTCTCCTGGATTCTATGGGGAAACTTGCCAACAGATCTGCAGCTGCCAGAATGGGGCTGACTGTGACAGCGTGACGGGAAGGTGCGCCTGCGCCCCTGGATTCAAAGTGAGTACCTTGGCCTCTGGAGGCAGGACAGGGATGCGCAGTGTGGAACAAGCACATCAGCAGCACCATTTATGTGAGCTGCCATGAAGCAGAGTGAATGTGATTGAACCATTCAAAGCATCCATGAGAGAAGAACTGTTTGAGATTAGTAACTTTAACATCCCATTGATGACTGAAAATACTAATAAAACCACCAAGATGTCATTAAGGTTTGCTGTTAGAACTCATCAGGAAGTATGGCCCATTATAAGTACTCCTTATGTAATTGTCTTATTGTGAGCTATAGACAACAGAGAGATATTTTTTTCCATGTGGTTATTGTTAGCTATTATTTTCTTTCTTTTTTCCTCTGTGCAATAGCTCAGGCTGTCCTGGAACTAGCTCTGTGGACCAAGCTGACCTCGAACTCACTGAGATTTGCCTGCCTCTGCCTCCCGAGTGCTGGAATTAAAGGCGTGTACCACCACCGCCCAGCCTAGTTATTCTTTATACCAGATTCTGTTTTAACTCCTCAAAATTTAAAGACACAGCCTGCATCAGTTCTGACTCATGATACATTCACACGCTATATATGCACAAAGTCCTTAAGTCCCTTTGAAAGTGTAGAGTTTACAAATGTACCTTCACAAGGGAGCAGAATTGTGCCTGTGGTCCCCAGAACTTTCTTAGCTATTGAAAAGGGGACGTGGTGGCTGTGCTTTCTTTCATCCCATTATAAAGATAGTGTTGAACTCTGGAGAATGTTGATGGTCGATCCGGGGTACATCACATAGAAAGAGTGGACCCTGAAGTCGTAGAGCAGAGAGAACCTCCCCAGAGATTTCTGATTAGTATCACAATCCTTTGGCTGTCCCCTGAATTAACTTTCTCTTAAAAGTCTTTTGAGTTTTTGAAAAGTGCTGCCCCCAGTCACCTTTGGTAGCTCAGTTCTGTGTTTAATGCCTACTGCTGGGTAAACTGAACCATACCACTGGCTGAGTATCGTTTTAATTCGACCATTTACAATATTGCATCTTATACAAGGAGGCCCATGGAGCATTTAGAAATGATGTGCAGTTTGTGTTATATTTTTTGTTGATAATAACTTTATAGTTATCATTTATTTTTATATGTCTACTTGTATAACCAAGGGAGAAAGGTTTGTTCTGTTACAAAGATAAATCTAAAGAAGTCAGCATTTGGCGTGTCCTACTTAACATTTTATCATAATCATGGACTAGCCAGTGTTGCACTTGAATATGTACAATTTGTATAAGAAAAAGTATTGAGTGTTAAAACGAGAGAGAAAGCCCAATTAGCAGCGCCGCAGTGTATTTTTGTTTGTGCTGGCGTGGTTTCGGTTGGGAAAAGTAGCCACATTTTGCCATTTGTGCTCATCTAGGGAATTAACTGCTCTACCCCGTGTCCTCTGGGAAGCTATGGGATAAACTGTTCCTCTCGCTGTCGCTGTAAAAACGATGCTGTCTGTTCTCCTGTGGATGGCTCTTGTATCTGTAAGGCAGGTAAGAGTATGGGTGTCTGAATCTTTTGTAGATCCTGGTTCTGTCGCCTCCTAGAGTCACTGGAAGGACACATGGATGAGGGCTCTAGCTCGAAATCCACTAAACTTAGTGTGACCTCATCCTCCCTCATCCTTCCTGACGCCAGGAAAGAAACTCATATTTGGTCATCTCTGAAGCTGCTGCCAGCTTTCAGGGTCTGAGTCCATGACTTTGGGGAGGTAAACAAGCAGGCATGTCTGTGCCCCCAAATGGCCTGACTTGGAGGCATGACAGGAAATGCTGCCAGCACAGATTGTATGTGTGACCCGGACTGTGTCCTCCATGGCTGCAGCCAGGATCTTGGTAGCCCTTTTTTTTTTTTTATGGTTAATGGCTACTGCTTCAAAGATGGAGCTATTCTTCCAAGAACAAACCTTCTACTTCCTCCCATAGAAATAAACAAAGCTTATCATTCTACCCCAACCACCACAGCCCATTAAAGGTGACCTCACTCCACCATCCCGTCCCAGTAGCCCAGGGGTGCGTCTCAGTGTTAGCATCCCTGACCGATCACAGGGCACAGTTGGCTGCTTGCTTCCTTGGGGGTTCCTTTTCATTTCTGGTGGAGGCCTTTTGTGGCAGAGCCAAAACTGTCTGCCACTGCTGCGAACGGGGCTGGGCAGCACTGTTAGGCATCTCCAAGATGTCTCTAAAGGGAGACGTGGCTTGGAAGAGCTCAGCAAAGCTCCCGGTCCTCCTTTGTCTCCTCACACGCTCTGTCGTTCTTGTCACGCAGGCTGGCACGGGGTAGACTGTTCCATCAGCTGCCCCAGCGGCACTTGGGGCTTTGGCTGTAACTTAACATGTCAGTGCCTCAACGGGGGTGCCTGCAACACCCTGGATGGGACCTGCACCTGTGCGCCTGGATGGCGAGGGAAGAAATGTGAACTTCCCTGCCAGGTATGTGGGCTCTGGGTGGCCACGCCCGGAGGACTATGCAGGAGGGTTGATTTCTTTGCCCACTTTGTTGTTTGTTTGTTTTTCCTGACTGGAGGTGAATGAGTGTGACCCAGTCTTCAATAACTGTTACATGAGTGGAAGTGGGCAGAGGCTTGGAAAGGCATGGAGTGGAAATCAGTTAGGCAGGCTTTAAAGAATGCTTCCTTCTTTCCTTTCACCCCCATGCTGCTTTCCCAGCCCCCCACTCCAGCATTTTCCCTTCCTTATCCACTCATCTCTGGGGTGCAGCCAGGCAGCAGCATTGGTCAAACACCCAGTGTATGCCTGTCAACTCTCCACGTATTCTGTTCCCATTATAATGGAAATCTGCAGGCTTTGGGCTGGGAAGTGACAGGGGGCTGAAAAGGGGGCGGTGGCTGGTGTCACAGAAATGCGCCTTGAAGTGATGAAAGGGGGTTTGGAAACAGCCTTGGTTGATGTAAATATTTCTGGAGGCCCAGAAGTCTCCACAGTACTTACTCCCTTCCCTTGACCTAATTTGGAGACATGCATCATTGGAAACTCTCCTCTGTAGGTGCTGCAGACTAGCTGGGGGTGAAATGGGAAGGGGGTTCTATAGTGACCTGGTGCTTGCTTTCCAAAGCCCTTGACTGCTTTCTTTCCCTGCTTATGCCATGATTTCTTTTGGAGCCATCAAGCCTTCTATCAACAGTAGTAGGTTCTCTCCCCCAGGACATTATCAGATAACAATGGGATCCCCTGAATTGGGCCATTCCAGAGACAGGGCTTCCACAGGCCTCTCTTTCCTCCTCTGGGCATCCTTCTTGTTAAGTACAACCCATTTCCCAGCCAATAAAGGATTCCTGCCCTGCATTATTCTGTGTTCCCCAAGCCCCTAGGAGCTAAGCTATCTTTGCTGTGTCTCTTCAGACCAATGGACAGATTAACAAAGCTCCACTGGGCTGTTAGGTGGTCTTTACTTCTTCATTATAGACAAAGTGGAAACCCCTGTGCACGCTGACTATTTTTCTGCAGTAGATGTATTAGGGAAATCTGATGGTTCGGTCACATCTATTACAACAGAGCTAAATGCTGTGCAATCCTGTCAAACCCTAGTGGAGCCTAAGTAGTGGGTTAGCTGGTTACTAGACAAATGATTATGTCATCTAACACCCGCTGCCTGTTTCCATGTCCCCACCTTCAGTCACTGGGCTGTTTTCCTCAGTGTTTGGGTAACACAGAGAGGGTTGTGGTACCCTATACCAATTCCTAGGGTCTGGAGTCGAAAATAAGTTTCCCCTACCAATAAAAACTTTTTCATTCTTCTTCGTGAATAATTAGTTGGTCATGCCCACCCACCAAGGGTCTCCTCTGTATTGGACCACTCAACAGTAGCATATACATATGGGGCAGATGAGGAGGCTGCCAATGTCATGCTTATTTACAGTCATGAATCATAACATTCTGCACAGTTTAGACTTTTTCCCGGAAAGAAAGATAGTTATTAGAGAAAGTAACAATCGATTTTCAGTCTTCTTCATTATGTCATCTGTTCCACTGACAACAGATTATGGAAATGAACTTAACTCAATTATATGTATATCACATATATAGCATCTATATATCCATATCTATGTATCTATGTACGTATCATCGATTTAATCTGTGTGTCTATCTAGCGTGTGTAAGTGTGTGTGTCTGTGTGTGTATGTTTGTACGTGGGCATGTGTATCTTTATTATGTGGACAAAGACCCCTCTTTCCTCTAAGGAAAGAGAATTATAGGGAGCACAACACTGAACTATGTTGTAAGACTCATTAAAGACAAATGAACATATTTTCAGGGGTGTGGTAAAGGGTTCTTTTAGTCAATTGCATGCTTATATTTATTGTATGTGTACATGCATACAAGCTGACACAATTGGCTTCACCCTGTCCATCTTCTAATTATTGGATCAAACCTAAGTTAGCGTTGAGGGGATTTTCAAATGCTACCCCGCAAGCTTGTGTTTTGCATCACGGGGAGAGGGGATGTGATGTCTGTTCCTAAGAAACGTGTCAGGGCCCTTGTGGTTTGTGTCATGGGAATACTTAGATTTGTCATCGCTGGCTTTGATGTTCTCTTCCCTGCAGGATGGCACATACGGGCTAAACTGTGCTGAACGCTGTGATTGCAGCCATGCAGATGGCTGCCACCCCACCACAGGCCACTGCCGCTGCCTCCCTGGATGGTCAGGTATGACCTTAAGGCCAGTGTTTGAAAGAAATAGCCAATGCTTTAGTATCTAGTGGTGTTGCTTCTTCCTTTCACACAGGTCATTTTCTTTCAGGAAAAAAATTAAAAAATGCAAGTGAACACATTTTTGTCCATGAAATGTTATGTGTTAGGTGTGATTTATCAGTCACCAAGGGTAGTCAGTTTCATTGAGCTTAAATGTAAGATCCCATTGATAGAATGTAGGCCAGCAAGATTTCTTTGGTATATTTTGAGTATTGAGAAAGAAAAAATTTTTAAAGAAGTCTCAAGACTATAATTAGAATCATCATAGAGATAAAACTATGAACTATTCCTAATATGGTTCATATCCAAATATTAAAATCTTTCCCAGAAACAAAAGTTTAAGAACTTTTCCTTCCTTAAAAGTTTGAGTCATGATAAATTCATGTTATGATTGAGCACAAAATTTCTAACCATGGGGTAGAAACTCCTCCTTATTTATGTGGCTTTATGAATTCAGCTGGGAAGTTTATCCGGTGAGTAGTGATCCCAGAAGAAGAATGATATCTTTACTCATGATATACAGGTTTGCTTGGGCATTTAGTGCTGCCTTCAGAGTCTGTAAATCATGAGCAAGAACATCGCTCTTCTGGCAGGAACACTTTACGTTCCCACCAGCAGCATCTGAGCGCGTCTGTATCCCCGGCACACATCCGTCTTTCTAGTGACATCCGTCTCAGTAGCTAGGAAGTGGTACCTCTCGGAGGTTTTGCTTTGTGTTCCTCTGGTGACTGATGATGCTGGGGATCCATCATCTGTGCATTTATTGGCCACCTGTACATCTTCTTGGGAGGAATATATATTCATAGCCTTCATTAATTCTTAAACGGGTTCTTTTTCTTTATATCTTTGAGTTCTAAGACCACATTATATAAATGTTCTTTACCAGATATGATTTGCAAGCCCTTCTCCTCCATTTTCTATTTTTGCTCCCGCCATTTCCATAACCTTCTTCTCAGCAGAAGTTTTTATTTTGATAAAACCTACCTTGTCCCAATTTTCAAATGTTGCTCCCGTGTGCTTTTGCTATCAGTTTTAAGAAATCATTGCCTAATGCAGGATTGCAGAGGTTTATTTGTTTATTTCTATGTTGACTTCTAAAGTTTTTAAAACCTTTATACTTAGGTTTTTGATTCGCTTTGAGTTAATCTTTTATGCTATGATGGGGGGGGTCAAACTTCATTCTATATTCAATGGTCTCAGCACAGTTTTGAAGACTATCCTTTTTTTTTTTTTTTTTTTTTTTTTTTTTTTAGTTTTCAAGACAGGGTTTCTCCGTAGCTTTTGGTTCCTGTCCTGGAACTAGCTCTTGTAGACCAGGCTGGCCTCGAACTCACAGAGATCCGCCTGCCTCTGCCTCCCAAGGGCTGGGGTTAAAGGTGTGTGCCACCACCGCCCGGCCTTGAAGACTATTCTTTCTCCTACTGACTGTCTTAACTTCTGAGCCAAAGTCAATTTCCCATAGATGTGAAGCTTGTGTCTGAATGTTCTAGTCAATTCCATTGGGCCGTATGCTTGTCCTCATACTGGTACAATTCTTCCTTGATTATGGTGGCTGTGTTTTAAATCAGGAGAAGGGGGAAAATTCCACCCTTTCTTCCTTTTATGGTTTTCTTGGTCCTGCTGGATCCCTTGAATTTCCATGTGGCTTTTAGCATCTATATACCAGTCTCTGCAAATAAGCAAGATGGAAATTTAGTGGGGTTTAGTTGCTAGATTAATTTGGGGAGCACTGGCAACTTAGCTACATTAAGTCCAGATTCACAAACATGGCCTATTACCAGCAATCCCTCAGAGGGATCTGTTGCCCTCACCCCAGAATTTGCTGAGAGCTTCTTTAATTGTGGGTAAAAGAAAACAGGGATGGACTCTCACCTTGTCAGATAGGCCAAGCTGGTACAATGACTTCATTTGCTGTCAGTAGGAGTGACCCATGGATTCAAGGCCTCCTCCCTGTAGTTCCCTCTTGACTTGTGAGCTTGATTTTATAGTACAAAAGTCCATCTTTGTATGTCCCTGTCACCTCTGCATCACGGATGTTGAAGCTTGATCATGTCAGGCATTAAATTTCATCTGTAATTTCACCAGGATTCCAGAGTTTTGCAAATGGATATTAAATTCTCAGTGACCTCAGTGAGGCAAAGGGGAACTTTCAATCTGGTAAAACAGATCAAGCCTAACAGAGGCCACACTACCTAATCTGGGCTCTGCTGTACCAAACCTGCTCTGTCTTATAAATCCACGTAGAGTGGGAGGTGTCCCTGGACATACCAGTCACAGCTTGGGTGTCAACCTGTTCTGATGATTTAGAACCAGCCTGTGAAAGGGACACCCTCGGTCACATGAGAAAAGCAGGAGATGACTTGGCTTAAAGCCAGTCAGAAAATGTGTTCCTGGCATTCCACAGTCTGGGTCATGGGGTAAGACAAATTATCCCATCTGGCCTTAGACCTACCAGGTTCCTGCGGGAATGCACTGGCTTTGCCCCACAATGTGATCCTGTAATCCCCTTCCCATCTGTGACCAGCCTGCTTCCTGCCTGATGTCTCTCTCTGTCTCTTTGTCTCTCCCTCTCCCTCCCCCCTCTTCCTCCCTCCCCCTCCTCCCTCTCTCCCCCTCCCTCCCCCTCTCTCTCCCTCTTCCCTCTCTCCCCCTCCTCCCTCCCCCTCCTCCCTCTCTCCCCCTCCCTCCCCCTCCTCCCTCCCTCCCCCTCCCTTCTCCCTTCCCCTCCCTCCCTCTGGCTGCCCTCTGTCTCTTTGCTTTGCAGCCTGTACTTATGTCTCCACTGCTCTCAAGCCAACCCAGTGGTCCCCCAATGCCTCATTTCTCTGTCTTCCATGGGCCTGGGTGTGTGAATAGTTGTCAGTCTCTGAACCTGCTGAGAGATTGTTCCCCCACACTCGTAGAACACATTTGACACAAACAAACGTGGGAAAAAAGACAGTTCCAGCAAATTTAAAAACAGATCACGTTTGGAACGGAGAGCTGGATTACTTTTTCTAAACAGAAAGAATAGATTCTGGGTAATATTTATACAGGACATCATTTTGTTGCCGGCCATGAACAGGCTCATATTTTTTTCACTGATAACTTTGTTTTGAATAAGTTCCTTGTTAAGACTTCACAACAGGAAGAAGGCCTTGCTTCTCATTAAGGAACCAGCTTTTAGCCAAATCTTTACTATAAGCCCAGGGAACCATGAGAATCGGTCCCTTTTCTTCTCTGTTGTTGATATGCTCTAGGTGACATGTCAGGGATTACTTGCTGGAGAGGGTACAGTCTGATATAACAGAGGTGATTCCTCAGTGAACTGCAACATGGGGCTTAGGCTCTTCCCCTGTGCACAGTAACAAAAAAAAAAAACTCTACAAAGTGTTCAGCCAATGAGGACACAGGCAGAGGTGGCAGTGAGGGAGGAGCACACTTAGACCCAGCAGCCACCATCCCATCTTTAAAGAAAGTTGGGTTTCTGAACCTGGAGTCACCACCACTCAAAACTTCACGATGTGACTCAGGTCTGTATCTTCCTAAGAAATGCTGAGATTTTTTAAAACAGGGCTATAGTCCAGGGTTCTTGACCGGGGGAGGAGGGGAACACATTGTCAGCTCAAGTGGCATGACTTCATTCAAATTTTATATATGTATATATATACATAATAGCAATTAAATAAAAGGAGACTGTGAATCTGAGAGGGAGCAAGCAGGGATGGACATAATGAGGGGTTAGATGAAGAAAAGGGAAGAGGTGAATGACATAATTATAATCTCAAATTTTTTAAAAAAAAATTGAGAAAAATAGGTCTACAAATGTTAGTATGTTTTACCTAGGCGTAAAATGTCATACTGTGGCTAAGCAGTGGTGGTTCATGCTTATAATCCAGTACTCGGGAGGCAGAGGCAGGCAGATCTCTGTGAGTTCGAGGCCAGCCTGGTCTACAGAGTGAGTTCCAGGATAGCCAGAGATGTTACACAGAGAAACGCTGTCTCAATAAACAGAAACAAACAAATAAAAATGCTGTGAAAGTTAGCCAAAATCCAAAGTGCGTTCACTATTGCAACCTCTCTTTCTAAGGTTAACGCACCATTTTTGAAAAAAAAAAGGATATGCACATTTACCATATGCAGATATTTAAAACCTTAATTTATTGACATTTCCAGCCAATAGATTGTCTTATCCGAAAGAAACAGACCTCGTTAGAAAATGGGGGGAAATGAAGTGCCATTGTCGCTGGAAGCACATATTTTAAATCTTTAGACTCTCTGGGACCCGTATTACTCTGTCACAGCCTCGAGAATATCTAGGCAGTGTCTTGGGCTTTGTACACATGTATACACACACTGCACACATTCGTGTGCGCTCACATACCACAAACGGTGTGTGTACCAAACACATCCCACACAGTTATGAACTGAAACTGGCTTCTCAGAAGTGGTTGAGAAATTCCAGAAGAACTATAATTAGTTTTGCACAGATAGAGATGTATGTGTGTGTGTGTGGTTTTCCAGTGTAGTAGTGGAGTAACGGCCTTTATAAAGAATTTCCTAAAAACGGCAGAAACAGGTTGGCGCTTCTCCCTCTCTGCTCTGGGATCAGTCAGCCAGAAACACCCATTCACTGAGCATCACAGCTAATCACCATTTAATTCCCGCTGTCTGAAAACACGTGTGCTCTGTGGCCTGGTTCCCAGCTCTGGCCAAGATCACTGTCACCTGGGAACTCTTTCCACTTGTATGTTCCCGGCCACCTTCTAACACCTACTGAAAGGAAATGCGGAGGTGGCAGGGGTGGGGCAGAGAGGAGGAAGCCCTCACCAGTCCATGAAGCATTTTTTTTTTTGATACAAATTTTGAAAAGATTTGGAAATCTCTTGGCATGCTCTCCTTGGCATACGGGGTGAGCTGCATGTCCACCAGGGGCAACTGTCTAGTAACTTCCTGCGTGTCATCACTAGATTGTT